TGGGCTTTGTGGCGGCTCCGTGCGGGACGATGTGTGGTGAGTGTCGGTCTCGGCGCGGGGATCCCGGCTCCGGGCCTGCTCCGCTCCCCGGCTCCGGGCCCGGGTCGGGCCTGACAGGAGCGCGGCTCTGAGGGGGGATGCGGGGTGCTGGGGTGGGCCCAGGGTCTCATGTTTGACAGCTCTGGCTCAGCCGGCTCCTTTCTGCTCCCTCGCGGGGACGGGGGATGCTGGCTGAGCCCAGGGCGGTTTTTCATGAGGGCTGCCAGCGCGGCTGGGGCGGGGGGTGAACAGTGGCGGTGGGGCTGGGACAAGGCGGCTTGTGTTGAGGCCCTACATCCCCCCTGTGCTCTGACAGCAGCCCCCCGCTGCTGCGCACCGTGTCTTTTGAGCGGCTCTGTGATGGGCCTCGGAGCTCCCCTGCAACGTGTCCTGGCACTGGGCTCTGCTCCGCATCCAGAGTCGGTCCCCGAGGTGTAGCTGTGGGCTGGGCGTCTAAACAAACCCCAGGTGCCGTCTCAACTGTGGAGCTCAGAGACTGGAAACGACTGCCAAAGTCTGCCGCATCTGGGATGCGTTGATGAAGGGAGGGTGTTACCACTGATAAAGACGTGTAGTAAGACATTAAAACGGACTCGGGATGAAGTGGCAAACCACCCAGCCAAGCACTGCTAGATCAGCCTTTGGGGACCAGGTGCTTTGGACAATGTCACGCCAAACAAGTTACGATGGCACCTGGCCGGAGAGCGAGGTTTGGGGTCTAAAGCATTTGAAAAAATCCAGTCAACTTTCATGGCTTATAGTAATGTGAAATATGCCATGCATCCCTTCGCATGCATATAATGCTTGGGGTTTCATATGAAGATAGTTCAGACTTTTCTAGTGTGAATGCATACACTTATCAACATGTAAGGGTCCTTTTTAAGAGATGAATTTGGGGAAATGCTGTCTAGGGTTTCCAGCTGTGTAAGTGGAAACAGCTTTACAAACACTTTTTGTAAAAACATGCAGTATTTAAAAAGTTGCTGAAGCCACTTTGAACTGATGGTCTCTGTCAGTTAAATTTTAAGTAACTCTTAACTTCCTTGCAGCTCTAAAGCTGTTTCACTAAATAGGCACCCCCGTATTTACCATTTGCACTCTAATGAATCCAGTCTGCTCTGTGTTCTGATTAAAATGCTCTTGCGTGGCCTCATTATTGCGTGTATAAGCCCCCATGGATTTAAAAATGGCAGCTGGGGTGCTTTTATCTAAACCTTGTCAAATGAGGTCTAGATAAAGCATCCCATGGCCAGTTTTAAACCTGTAGGGGCTTAATACATGTGATGGTGAGATATTTCAGTTACAGTGCCTTTCTAGGAACCACTGTGATTTAAAACATCCCACCACCTGAGCATGTGTATAAGTGGCCTGGCTAAAAGCCAGAGTAATTTTTCCATTACAGAGCAGATCCAAAGTGCAGGGTGCCTGGATCTAGGTGAAATCTTGCAGTTAGAAGCTGCTTATGGCCTTTTCCTAGAAAAGACCCTCAGAACCCTTTTTTCCCCCCATTTTCCTGATGCTTGCCATTCAGTCAGAGAAAGCAAAAGTCCAGACAGCTGGTGAGTTGAAAGGAGAGGTGTTCAGTGAAGATTAAGCAGGCACAGAGATGGAGCCTAGGTTTTCTGAGATGTAGCATGCCTCCTTTCTGGTGGCAGTACAGGATTGTGAAAACCTGTTCTGAAGCGAGTAGCTTCCACGTTGCAGTAATGACTGGTATCAGTTATGTAGCAAATATAACAGCTCTAAGGGCAAAAGACCAGTACCCCATTAAATGTTCTTTGAGTAGCTGTAATTGGATATAAAAAATACCCAGTTCTGTCTTTATATTTAAGGTTTAGGGGCCATAGTTCCTTGCTTAAAATTTCTGCTAGTGAAGGGAGGCCATCACTTCAAATAGCTTTACCTGATCTAATGAAGCTGTGATATCACTTTACACAATAATTTTTTATTTTTATTAGAAATTCTTTTGAAAACTGCAGCTCTCTAATTGAACAGTTTGGGAGGCCACAGAAGTAATTTCAGTTAAAACAAGATTTGTACTTGAGAGAAACTTGTGAAATTAGTCATTTGCTTAAACTTCCAGATGGAGCTACCCTACCAGAAATGTGACTAAACTTTTTGGTTTTTTTCTGTAAAAGAGTTAAGCAACATAGATCTGGCAAAAAAAAGGATTCCTGAGAAGAAAGTGTGCATGTGAAAGAGGCAGTAGCAGATAAGTCAGGAGTAAGACTTCTCCTTCTAGTAAAAAAAAATAAATTTGCGATATGTTCCTTGACAACCCAGGCAGCAGTTATCTTTTCAGCGTAATAGCCTCTAGTAGCGTCTGAGTCTCCTAGTTCATGTGTGTGGATGTGTGGCTAGAGCTCCTTAGAAACAAGGGTCCTTTTAACAATTACTGCACACTGGTAGCATTGTAAAGGCATTCCCAGAGGAAGCTTTTCCTAGAGCTTTGTATAGTCATAAAGACGCCACTTGGAATATATGAGCCTGGTGTGTCTTTGAATGTATTGTGAAATCTGGCTTAGAAAGTGATGTTGGATCTGAAAAGAGGTACGGAGCAATATTCTGGAATGATGTTAAGACATTCTGTATTTTTAAATTTCCAGGATCCTTAGAGGCAGCAAGTGCTAGAGAACTGTAAGCAACTGTCTGGAAATTATGATCAGCAAATCCTTGATCTAAGGTGGTTTTATGTGTAACAAGCCTGCAGATGTTATTTCCAAGAAATCTGTGGAAGAGCAGCGCTTGAAATGTGTTCAGGCATCTTTTTTATGTTTAACTACTGTAGCATGTTATGGCCTCTGAACATCTTGCCATCCTTGCTATTAAAGTGATGGGCACTTTAGAAATGGTTAGGGTCAAATAGGTACTTTGCTTCCCTCTTCTGTAGCAGAGATGGAGTTTTGAAACTTAATTAGTTTCTTTGAGGTTAGTCTAAAAACTACTGCAGCCTGTAATACTAAAGTTGTCCAATTGCTGGTGTACAGCCAGTAACATTATTGGCTTTACTCCTAAATGTGGGGACTAATCAATTAGACCTCGCATGTTCAACAACTGTATCTTCACTATGACTTTCTTAGTTTTGGAGAACCAGTTGGAGGTATAAATAACATTTTTGTGCTCTCAGTAGCTTTAATTGAAGAGGTAAAACCATTAAATCTTCAGCACAGAATAATGTGAATTAGTCTTTGATATTACACATTTGTTAAAGAGAACAGTTTTTTCCAGTCAACCTGTTCCTTCCCTTCAAAGCTGAAATGCCACGTGCTTGCTTGGTCTAGGGTTCACAATGATTTACTGATTCTCTAGTCTACATAGTTTATGATACCAAATTCATTAACACTTTAAGTAGGGTTGGAGCCATGATGATCCAGGAAATGTAGCAGAAGCAAGGATTATTTATTTATTTATTTTTGGTGATACTTTTTTTTTAGAACAAGTGTATAGTTGGGAGAGCTGCTGGACAGCCTTTTGGGTATTGCGCCCTTCCTTAAGTCTGCAAGAGAGACTTGAGAATGGGTAGTTGACTTGGGTTCCTTTTCTATTTTCCTTTGTCCTTTGCTTTCTGTCCTTTGCTTCTGATTTCATTTCTGTTTTCTTCCCTAGTTTTCCCTTCCTGTTCCCTGTTAAAGTGACTGCTGCATACCATTTTCAGCAGGAGCCTTTCAAAAATAGTTCCTGTGCTCAGAGTCCCTACCCTGGAGCATTTTGGGCCCTGACCTTGATTACAAACATTGCCTTGTGCTAGTGCAGTGAATATACTCCTTCTTGAGATGTCTAGTTTTAGACCTGGATACGCAGTCAGTCACAATGCTCCCATTCTCTGCTACAGTCTGCACGGGGAGTTGGGAGATTTTTTTTTTTTTTTTGCAGTTTGGGCATTAACTGCTACTGTTATTTGGAGATCTCAGTGAAGAGAGTGATAGTCTAAAAATTCCCTAGAACCAGGAATGTTTAATTTTGTGACATTAATATTTGGAGCTAATAAAGAGCTTTAAATCCATCTCTGCAGAGGTCCCAATAGACTATAAAGCTAAGTACAGACAGTCAAAAAGCCCAAGGCTGAGTCTATTCAATCTTCACAGGTTAGTCTAAGCTGCGTAGATTGAGCCGATAAGCAAGTGAACAGTTCATTTTGATTCTGAAAATGCAGCCACATGCCTGCAGTGGCCCAGACCAGAAGCTGGGGGGTGGTAGAGCACGCCTTCCTGCTCCATTGGAACAGGCAGCTTGGGCCAAGGCTAGCCCGCCCACCCTGCGTGAGGGGGAAGAGGCGTGCGGGGGAGATGCATTCTGGGATGCTTGGGGGGCTGTGAATTAACTTGAATCTGGAGGAGATCTAGGACAGATCCTAAATCAGTTAAGTTCAATAAACCTACCTAAATTAGTTAAGTCTGATGCTACATCCATGCAGGTTTATTTTAAACTGGTTTCAGTGATTTTGAAAGCGGTTTATGTGCACTGAATTTCTGTTGTGTTACAGATTTGAACTGGCTTCCCATCACTTACACTGGTTTATGTGCAATTTCTGTTCCGAGCCTAAATGTTGACTTTCTGCTCTTTTGTCCCCTATTTCATTAAACAGGAATCTTCGCTTATCTGAACTACAGAGTACCTCGGACTCGGAAGGAGATATTTGAGACTCTGATCAAAGGACTTGAGAGACTAGAATACAGAGGATATGACTCGGCAGGTACCTTACCTTGCACTAAAAATGCATATGTATGTGATTGCAACTGCTCGGTACTTGCCTTACTTCAATCCAAGATGATCTTTACCATTTCTAACCAAGATATTTGGATATTGAATTTTTATTTGTGTGGTATTTTCTCATCCAAATTTTATTCTATTGCCATGAAAGAGCAAAGATGGAAACCTGTGATTTAATTACCTGTGATTCAGTTTAGTTGTTTTAGAACATGTAATTGAAGCAAGCAGAATGAAGGAAATGGATACCTGCTGTAATTTTTGTTGGACGTCTAATGTGAAGTGTGTTTGGAGACTTATCAATTGATAGGCTTATCAGTGCACTTTAATCTTGAAGTGTTAATATCACTGACAAAATCTGAGGTCCTTATTCAGGCAAAACTTTGGTCAATTTCAGTGGGTATTTAAACCTGTATTGCCTTTTCAGGTGAACCTTAATCTGATTTGAATAGCCATTTGTAGAAGACTAGAAGCATCCCTTTGAAGATTAACTTTGTTGTAGAGCCTTTGCATTTGCATGTGATTGTCTGTCTAATCTTAGGATGGATTTTTCTGAATAAGATGCACTCCTTCCTTTAAAAAAACACTTGTGTTCTGAATCCTAGGTGTTGCCATTGATGGAAATGATAATGAGGATAAAGAGAGGTTCATTAAACTGGTCAAGAAAAGAGGAAAGGTAAAGGCCCTGGATGAAGAATTATACAGTGAGTTTAAAATTCCTTTATGATTTTATACTCCTGATGATAGCTGTATATTAGCAAAAAAGTTAAACTATTGATTTCTGTGGTTTAAAACCAAAGCTGTTAATGGCATTGTATAACCAGCATTAGGTTGTTGAGTAGTTTTTGTTCAGAGACACTAGCTTTTACAAAGTAGGCTTATCTTTGTGCAGTAGGGGTATAGTGGAGGTACAATAGTGTGAGAGCTCACCACTAAGATGACTGTTCATTTTTGAACTACCACTGCCCTCTGAAATCTGAGCTCTCTCACAAGAAGACATGCGTATGAATTTATATTCTGACAGAGCTTTGGCCATATTGTACAGCATTTCCAAGCAGTTCATCTTCTTCACAGCATCCACTCTATGGATTCCTTCCTCCTACAAAGAACTTGAGTCCTATTTTTAATAAATATTTGTTTATATTGTAATGTTATGGTCAGTTTGCCTAGTTTACAATTGCTAGTATAGGCTGAAAAATAGCTCCATATTGGCAAAATGTTTCCCACATGCACTTAAAACTACCCAAGGCTTAGTGTCATGAAATCAAATAAAGTTACAAAACACTTTAGACAGGATCTTTACAGGTGAAATTTAAATTTAACAAGGTTTTGTTAGTCTTGTGTTTGTGTGCCTGTTTAACAAACTGATTTTCTTCTGCACAGAACAAGATGGTCTGGACCTAAAGGTAGACTTTGAAACACATTTTGGAATTGCTCACACTCGTTGGGCAACCCATGGAGTCCCCAGTGTAGTAAACAGTCACCCTCAGAGATCGGGTAAAGGGAATGGTAAGTATCATTTGTGTCAGTTTGGAATTGTATATGAATCTGTTATGACAGAAAAGACCTCAGTCTAGATTGAGACCTCACTCTAAAACTGCCAAAGTGTGCATGAATTCTGGTAGGCTAAACTCATTCATCAGTGACCTTGTCAAACAGACATTTCTTTCAACTAGAGAACATATTTTGACTTGGCAAAGCAGTCTAACTGCTCAAATAAAATTTCCCTGAATAATAATTGAAAGTGAAACTTATTTCTCAAACATGATAGAAATGGAATAGAATAATAAAGGATATACATTTGTTTGAATGATTCACTGTTGGTTTATTAGAAGCTCAACACAACTTGAGTCCTAATGTATCATAATTAATGCAGAGAAATGTCTTATTGGGCCAGCAGTATCCAGGAGGTAACTATACTTTAGTCAGCTGGTATTTTGAAGAGCAACTGAGCCAAGTGGAGGTCTAAAATATTTAACTATATTTTTACTGCACAGTATGAGAAACTTCAAACTTAGCAGCCTATTAAAATATTTGAATTAGTATTATCTAGAAAAAATAGTGTGTTTTTGTTGTTGTTTTTGGTTTGGTTTGGTTTTTTTTCCTGTTGCTGCATTTGATGCTTCCGAGTATGTGTATTTTACTGTTCTTATGAATAGGTCAGATGTTTTTAACTGGATTGTTATGCAGAGCCATTTTTTTTTTTTTTAATTCAGGCTAAATTGAATACAATTGACCCAAAACTGGAAAGAGTGATGTTATGATTAAGGCAGACGAGGTTTTTTGTGTAAAGGTGATATATTTTTACTAGACCAACTAAAAAGTTGGAAAAATTGTCCTTTGCAAGCTTTCGGGCACAACTACCCTTCAGGCTTAGGTAGAGTCCATTGGTGTTTTGTGTGCTCTCTTGGGTGGAATGGAAGCCAATATACAAAATGCAGGTCTGTGAAAATGCAAATGTGAGGGGATGAAAGACCATAGGTGCGAGGCAGGTAGGTGGGGCGGGGGGCGGGGGCACAAGGGGTGAATGTTGACCAAGTGATATAATGTAGCTGATAAAATGTAGACATTGCGTGGGGTTATTGGATGGAAGGCAGGTTATAATGTGCCGTAAAACCAATGTCTATAGTTAGTCTATGATTTTTTTTTTTTTTTT